GATATCATGACCTAAGCCAAAACCAAGAGTTGGAAGCTTAACCGACTGAGCCCCCCAGGCGTCCGCCACTGTGGACATATTTTTAAACCTGAACATAAGGAGTTTAGGTGCTGGAGGTGTGGCAGGGGGAGGGGTGTGTAGTTTGATTCAGGAGTTTAGCTGGGAGGGGGCAGTTAGATTCAGGAGTTTCACTGTGGGAAGGGAGGTCCAGAGAGGTTTGCCCCTGTCCTAATTTAGGACTCAGAGCCTGATGTTGGAACCATGGGCCCGTTTTCTTCTTTGGCCTCATGTCTTCGGTTTCTTACCTTCTAGTCCAGCCTCCCAGCCCAGAACCCTTTCTTGGCATCCCCAGGCTGAGGGCACAGCTCCTTGGTGCTTCAGGATCTCATCCCAACCTTATTTACCACCATGGTGAATTTCTCACCATTCCTCAATTCTTTGCATTTGCTGTTCCATCTGCCTACAATGCCCTTCCCTCTCTTTCTGTGCCTAGACAAAGGGCAGGAAATGAGGAAGAGGGTTTAGCTACTTGATTTTATCCTCCCACCCTTTCTTGAGGAAAGGGGCTAGAAGGCTTCTCTCCTGTTGATTTACTCACCTCTGAGCTTTCCCTTCCCAGGCTGTGCTAAGACCTTGTACCACTCAGTCCACGAAAAGATCTTCACGCTTCCAGGAGACTGTCTGATCTACCCTGCTCATGATTACCGCGGTGAGGGCTTCCTGGAGGAGGTGTGGGATAACTGTCCATTTGAGAGGGAGTACCAAACTGCTGTAGTCCATGTGGGGCATGGAGACCACAATTCCCAGAAATTTCTCTGGCCAAAAAGATCAAGTGCTTAGATGTGCTGAGTGTGGATGTAGAAACAAGACTCCTAGAATTCCGGAGGGCATGCGTTTTCCTGGAACTTCCTTAGAGAGCTTAGGGCACGTGGGAAACTACATTTCCCATAGTGCCAGTCGAGGAGAGCAGGCGATCTTGGTAACATTCTGGGAAGAGCCTGTTAGTCCCAGGCCCGAGATGCACCCTAAGCCTCCTGGGAAATGTAGTCCTCGGAGGCCCCAGGCACTTGCCGGATTGACGTTCCTCTCCTCCCTTGGCCGCTAGGGCTCACAGTGTCGACCGTGGAGGAGGAGCGGACTTTGAACCCGCGGCTCACCCTCAGCTGTGAGGAGTTTGTCAAGGTCATGGACAACCTGAACTTGCCCAAGCCTCAGCAGATAGGTGAGCAGTTGGGGGCTGGGACTCCTGGGTCTGAGGGAGGAGGGGGCTCAGGGCCAGAATTATGTTTCCCAAAGAAGAAGGGCTCCTCGGATTTCCGGGCCCCCAATGGGGCATGAGGGGGTCTGCTAGGGCCCCTTAATTTCAGCCCTGGGTTTTTCCTTTCAGACTTTGCTGTTCCAGCCAACATGCGCTGTGGGATCCAGACTCCCCCTTCCTGACCCGGCTTTGTCAGGTGCTCATTTCTGTTAAGAATGCACTAGGTGGGGTACAGAGAGAGGTGCCATCGCCAGGCCTCTCTTCTTCCCCTCCCTCACCAGCCCCTGAGCTTCTTAAATAAATAAAATATATATATATATATATATATTTTGCTCTGAATCTTATTTCTGTCTGTTTTTGGGGGGGAAGCCGTTGGTTTTCTGATCTGAGGTGTCTGGTCTGAAGAGGCCAGGGAGGAGAGAGCAGGGTGAAGATGCAGGGTGCAGGGAAGGAGGACATTTTCTAACTCACAAGATCAGAAACAAACCTATCTGGGGCAGGGCTTCTCACCTCCTTGGATTAGAATACCATCTTGAGTTGGAGCCACTCACACCCGTAAGACCCAGGAGAAGGTCCTTCACTCCTCCACGTCTCAGTTTCCTCATCTGTGCAATGGAAATAATACTAATAATAGGGTGTTGTGATGATCCAATGAGTCCACATGTATGAGGTGCCTTGGCACACTGCATGGCAGGTGCCCTATCAGTGGTGACTATTATTGTTACTATCATTTGGAATGATCTTCCAGGCACTTCCTGGCTGCACCAGAGTGACAATGTGCCCAATGGTTAAGAACATGGACTTTCCAGAGAACAAATCCAGCCTTGAGATTAACAGCATGTCTAGACTTCCAGGCACATTTAACCCCCTCAGCCTCAGTTTCCCCAATTATAAAATGGAGATGGTAATCCCTTTCTCATTAGGCTACCATAAGGATGAAATTAACGTGTGTCAAGTGTTTAGCACAGCTCCTGACATCCAATAATCCTGTCTCACATGCCAGTTATTTTCCTGTTTTTGCCCAGAGAGGAAAGGGTCTGGCTTAGACCTTTAACCTCTGCCCTCCACCCCATAGCAGAGTGGGGCGGGGGGGTGGGCACACTTCCACTGTCTCTGGGCGGGTCTCTGACTCAGCCCAGGGCACCCCCTCCCCTTGCCCAGCTCTCCAAACCGGTCGGAGCCCTTCTAAAGGGCTCATTAGAGGGAGAGGCCCCTATCTCCATTCCCCCTTCCTTTCAGGATTCCCGGTGTCGGGGCATTAGGGAGACGCTTATACATAGGTGATGAAGACGCCTAGCCCTCCAGGGGGCAGGAACGGGGCGGGAGGCGCTGGAGGCAGAGTGAGGGGTCGCGATGCTGGCTTTTCCGAGGGTGGGGCCGGTGGGGCCGGGATGGCCAGATGCCGCGGCCGCGGGCGGGGCAAACTGGTCGCTCCCTCCTCCCTCGGGGAGCTGTTGGACCTGTTGTCCCCCCCCCTCCACTTCCGGGCTGCTGGGGAGGGGGACAGAGCAGCTTCTCTCTCCTCCCTCTTCCCCAGCCACCTGTCCCGCAGACTGAAAAGGCAGCGCCCAGAGCGCAGAGCGACCAAGCCCGCCGAAGCCTGAGCCGGTGAGGGGGCCGGGGCTGCGGGGGAGGAGGGAGCTGAAGACGGCCTTCTGGGCTCCCGGGAGTGGAGGGAGGCTGCAGTTTGGGAATCTAGCCCTGGGACGAGCAGAGGACGCAGACTCTTGGTTTGCTCAGGGAGGGAAAGTAGGAGCCCCGACTCCTGGATCTCTGAGTGAGACGGCATGGACGCTGCTCCCCCCTACAGTGGTGTCGGAGCCAAGTCTACCAGGCTCGGGAAAGGAGGGAGTCCCGGAGGGAGAAGGAGATGGGGTCGCTCTAGGGTGCTCCAAGGGATTGTGGGGGGTTGCTGGGAGGGTACAAGGCTCGACACCTGGGTAGGAGGGAGAGGCCAGTAGGGGACGTGCGAAGACCCCCCCCCCCAACTCAAATTCCGGTCGGGCCTTCGGGGGTGTGGCGCCCTGGGAGCCATCGAACCCCGCCCCTAGAAACTCCAGACCACGCCCCCGGAGCGCTCAGTTCCAGTCTTTGATCTCTTAGGTCCCGCCTCCTGGAGCTCCTTCCGAGCGCCCGAGCGCTCGGGAGCCTCCTGGGCCGCATCCTCTCGCTGCCAGGCCACGCCCCCGGAACTCGGGCCCGCCCACTCCGCTGGAGCACCGAGCGGCCATGGGGACGCCGAGCGGCCGGGACGAGGGGTGCCAGCCGCCTCCGGTCCCGGAGGGCGACGCGGAGGTCCCGCCCCAAGGGGCTGCGCAGCCCCAGGTGCACCCCGAGGACCCCCACGAGCCGGAGGCGCCCGAGGCCCCGGAGGAGCCCCAGGGAGTGAAGGAGCTTCCGAGCGGCCGAGGAGCTGAGCAGCAGGCTGAGGAAGAGGAAGAAGTGGAAGAAGGCAGCAGCACGGAGAGCAGCCGCGACGCGGTGAGGGACCTGGAGGGCGAAGGAGGGGGCCCCGGGGGGCCCAGAGAGACAGACAGGCGCTAGCGGGTGACAGAGCCACAAAGGGACAGGTAGAGAGAGACCAGATGGAGACCTGGACACAGGGAGACCGAGAGACAAGGGAACCAAAGAGACAGAGACACAGAAAGACCAGAGACAGAGCCTCGGAGAGATGGGGTTAAAGACACAGACAGAAACCCAGAAACAAAGGACAGAGATGCTCAGAAGGGAAATACTCTGAAAGGGAGAGAGATCTAGCGATTCAGAGAGAGAGACAGATACTGAGTCGGAGAGACAAAACCCAGAGAAACGGGGGAAAGACTCAGAGCAACCCGGGGAGAGCGGGAGAGAGATCCGGGTCTACCAGGACGCGATGCCAAGAGAATGGGACCTGGGTAGCGAAAAAGGGACCTTCCTTGAGTCGGCTGCGTACGTCCCCTCCCCGACTGCAAGTCCCTGGGCCTCCTGCCCGGCCCGGGGTGCTCCCGCACCTGCACCCTCCCCCACTTCAATAAACGGGCGTGGCGACTGACTGGGGCTGATCAGACCCCCAGACCCGAGAATGGGGTGGGGAACGGACCTGCCTGATGACTGCAGTGGCGAGGCCTCTCCTCCTGAACACGCCCCTCTCCGACCTCAGCGGGAGGCTCGGTCCCCGGCACAGACCCCGGCCACGCCCCCCGCATCCACCCAGCCTGGGGAGGGGGTGCGAGGGGCGGCGCGGCGGCTTCGAGAGCAGCAGCTGGAGGCACTGACCCGCGTGGCCGTGATGGAGCAGCGAGTGAAGGAACTACAGCGCCAGAGGAAGGAGCTGAGGATTGAGGTGAGGCTGCGGACCTTGTGGGCAGTCTGGTCCCCAGCTCAAGGGGAGCCCTCCAGGCCAGGCTCCTGGGCCTTGCCTCCAGCGGGATCCCACTCTTAGGCCTCCAGCCCTATCCTCCCTCCCTCCGAATCCAGGACCCCAGACTCCCAGGCACCCCACTTGGACCCAGGCGTCCAAGTCCCCAGCCTCCTCCTTCCTCGGACCCAGACCTCCGGGCCCCAGCCCTTACATTCTCCCCACAGATGGAGGTGGAAGTGGCCCTTCTGCGGGGCGAGCTGGCTGGGGAGCGGGTGGCTGCCCGGCGCGAGGAGGAGCAACTCCGGGAGCTGCTGGAACAGCAGAGGGACACGAAGCGGGGCAACCACGAGCAGCAGGAACAGGTCAGTTTCTCCTGCGCGATCTTCACCGTCAGTTTCCTTCCTCATCGGACCGATATTCCTGGTGGTGCTCCGGGGACCTGAGCCCCAGGGTTATCCTCATTCCCCAAAGGGGGATCCTTGGGCTGGGGGAGTGAGGGGTGGGCAGATGCTTCTTGTTTTCCTTCTCCCTCTCCCACCATGATTCTGGGGCCTCTTCCTTTGGCCCTCTCTTTGCTCTTTAAATGTCATCTTGTGAAAAATGTCAAACCGACGAACAGAATAGTCAAACGGGTGGCTCTGTGGTGTGCTCACCACCTTTATCAGTAATCAATCTTCCATTCTCGTTTCATATCCCCCAGTTTGCTTCCCTCTCCCCCGTTTTAAAAGCCAGTACCAGACATGATACTGTCTGTAAACTCTTTAACAACCTATTCATTCTTCAGGTCTGATAACGAAACAGGGATGGTGTTTTTAAAAACAGGGGCCTTGGGGCGCCTGGGCGGCTCAGTGGTTAAGTGTCTGCCTTCGGCTCGGGTCCTGATGGTCCTGGGATCGAGCCCCACGTCAGGCTCGCTGCTCAGTGGGGAGTCTGCTTCTCCCTCTCCCACTCCACTCCTTCTGTTCCCTCTCTTGCTGTCTCTCTCTCTGTCAAATAAATAAAATCTTTAAAACTAATAAAAAAAAAACAAACAGGGCCTAGCTCTACACACCTCCCTCTCTCTCACCCCCAAACCTGTGGTCAGTCAACATGTCCTGTCCTTTCTGCTCCCTGAACCTCTGTCTCTAGTCCTTCCAGTGCCCCAGGATAAGGGTTCTTCAGTCAGTTGGCCAAACCAGACAGGAGCTGCGCCGAGCCTGCCTTTCTCTGTCACCTCCCTCTGTGCTCCTCATCTCTACCCTCTGACCAGAGTTTACCCCCGAAACTTCCTGTGCTTTTCAACTACTGTGCATTTGTGCTGTGCTGTTCCCTCAGCCCAAAGCGCCCTTCCGGCTCCCTCTAGCTCCCTGGGTCTAAATGTTCCCTGATTTTTGAGGCTTATCTTAAAATCCTCCCATCCAGGAAGATGCTCTCCAGTCTCGGTTTCTGTAGTCTCTGTGTTTCACTGCCCTGATTGTCCCAGCCTGTACAAGAGTGAACTAGACAGGGGCACCTGGGTGCCTCAGTCAGTTAAGCGTCTGCCTTCGGCTCAGGTCATGATCCTAGGGTCCTGGGATCGAGCCCCACATCGAGCCCTGAGCAGGGAGCCTCCTTCCTCCTCTCCCTTTGCTGCTTCCCCTGCTCATGCTCACACTCTCTCTCTCTAATAAATAAATCTTAAAAAAAAAAAAAAAGTGAACCAGACAGACAGGGTCCCTGCAGTCTTGGAGCCGGCACCCAGGCAGGGTTCAGGGATCCAGCTAGCCTCGCCCGTGCTGGACTCTGTTTCTCTTCCTGTGTCCAGACTGGACTGGACTGAGAAGGCTGAGAGCCTGGCTGTTCTTTCAGGAACAGAGGCGGCTGAGCCAGGAGCGGGATCGAGTGGAGGGTCTTCGCCAAAGACTCCAGGAGGCCCAGGGACAGCTCAACTCCCAGCCGGAGGACCAGCGAGAGCGGCTCCTGCAGGGAGTGCAAGAGGTGAGGGTCCTCCAGATCCTCTCTGGG